ACAGAATAGGTTATGGAAAAGATAGGAAGCTTACTGAGCACATAAACAGTAACTGGAAAATAACTTCCAGTGATGAGGGCAGTAGGAAGGTAAATCTTGGAAATTACAATCGCACATAAGAAAAGAGCAAAGTAAGAGAGAACCTGTTTAAGCTATGAGGGCGAAGATAACCACAGGTGCAGGGGTTACAGGTGCAGAGGTTACGTGTGCAGAGGTTACAGGTGCAAAGGTTACAGGTTGCAGAGGTTACAGGTGCAGAGGTTACAGGTTGCAGAGGTTACAGGTGCAGAGGTTACAGGTTGCAGGGATTCTGAGGTTTCAGAGGTTCTGGGTTGCAGAGGTCTGAAAGGTTGCAGAGGTTTAGAGGTTGCAGAGGTTCTGAGGTTTCAGAGGTTCTGGGTTGCAGAGGTCTAAAAGGTTGCAGAGGTTCTGAGGTGGTCGAAGCTGAGAGGGGCTAAGGCTTTAGAGGATAGGAGAGGCTATGGGATGAATGAGGCCCTGCCTCCAAGACGAGGATGGGCTTTCCTTTTATAAGGCTCGAAGGGAATCTTTTGGACAGGTGGACGATAAGGTGGACAGGTTGGCAAGATATCGTCGGTAGAAGATGACAAAACACGGAGATACTTTTGTCAGCAGAAGGTGACAAAGAAAAGGGAGTGTTGGCAGAATACGACAAGTAGGAGAGAGTAGTGGAGTGTCGGCAGAATGCGACAAGAAAGAGAGAGAAAGAGTTAGTGGAGTGTCGGCAAGATGCGATAAGAGAGAGAGAGAGAGCTAGTGGAGCACATAGGAAGATGCCCCTTTGCTAAAAACAAAAAACAAAAAGTAAAAAGCATCTATACACAGTGGCTCTTCTGGCCTTATTACAATTGGAGTACAGTGTTTGCTGTCGGCAGTGGGACCCTTGTTTGTCTCATATGCTGTCTTGCTATTTTGTTTCTTATTGCTTGATAGTGACATCAGGGATGATGGAGTTATGGTTTCTAACTGAATTCTTCCGGATCATCCTCTTTCGGATCCGTTTCTTCTGGATCTGTCTCTTCTGGATCCTTCTGACTGAGTTGAAGGTACCTATTGGTGTGTAGTGGAGAAGATTGAACTGTTTCTTCGAAAGATGTAGGTTTTCTTCCGGCTTCGGTAAAGATCTCTTTCATTTGTTTCTCCAGTTCTTCTTTGGAGGTATGTGGGTTATTTTGAAGCATATTTCGAAGGTAAGTCGGGAAATCAAAAGACGTGTTTGGAGTATTTGGGTTTTCCTGGTATATAGGTGCTTTAGGTGGTATTCTTTTTGGAGTGGCTTTGGTGAGATCCATTTGGAAGATATCCCACCATTTGATAGAGATAGTTTTTCCCAAACGGGGGATGTATGTATAATCATTTGTGGTATTGGGTGATATGGTATAATCCCATTTCATAATCCAAGGGATTTGGTACAAAGCCATAAAGTAAAGGTGAGTGTCAACTGAATTATTCATATTATTGTATTGTATAAACTGATCCTGCAACTCCTTAAAAGCAGGAGGTAAAATCATAGCAGTTGATCCCCACACAAAATACCAGTTTTGAAACCAAGTGGGGAACCTTTCAAAAATAGGTAGCCGGAATTGTAAATACCAGCTATGAGTATTATTAGGGTTTTGATAATAGAAAAATTTATGCCAAGCTTCTATATACGCAGCGTATTTAAAATACTTATAAGAAAACTCTGGATTTTGCAATTTCTTCCCTTGTGCGGGATTGGAACCCCACTCAGTATAGGAAAGAAGTTTCTTTATCTGAACCTTTGAATAGGCTATTATTCGGGTATTCTGTTGAAAATAGTGGACAACAGAGATGGACCCTGTTTCCATTAGAATGGCTTCATAATACTCTCGAGTCTTAACCCCATTGATAGGATTAAGATGATTTAGTAGGTATAATGGTGCAAGCTTGCTTGGATCCATGTGAACCTGATGTTCATCAATGGTAATGTCCATTAAAAAGGCTCTTTCAATGTAGTCGGATCTTGGAGTATTAGTAGGAGGAATGGATTTGGACTGGGCTGGTGAAAATGTAGGAGTTGAAGTTCTTGCTTCTGGGTAAGTGATTTGGTGAATTGGAGATTGAGATGGTGAGCGAATATTCAAGGGAAAAGGTTCCCCTTCATATGGAACTAAAGAATGCATGGGTTGTTTTCCCCGGCGAGTATTGCCTCGGGAGCCCATATTTAAGGATGAAAGATCCTTATCAGATAAGGTTTTTTGGAATAATTGAAGTGCAAGTGAAAGTGGTGATTCGTCGTTGGCGTCAGTGGTGCCCCCCCTGCAAAAATTCACGAGTAAGAAAATCGGGTAAAGAATTAGAAGACCCGAGAAGATGTTCAATGGAAAAGTCGAAGGCTGAGAGAATAGCCTGCCAGCGGGCAAATATTTGTTTAGAAACCAAATTTTGGACATCTTTTTGCAAAATATCTTTAGCGGCTTTGCAATCCGTTCGTATAAGAAAATGTTGATTTAAAACATCACTTTGAAATTTTGTAACACAATGGACTATGGCTAGTAATTCTTTTTTAACCATTGAGTAATTTAATTGCGTGGAATTCCAAGCCTTGGATGTATAACGTAATAATTGTTTCCACTGAATCGATTTGTTGTTTTAATATTCTACCAAGTCCTTTATCCGATGCATCACATTCAATGATTTTAAAGGCAGTAGGATGTGGAAGAGAGAGGCATTCAAGGGTTTTGACCTTACTCTTTATTACCTGTATTGCTTTTGTATGTATGTCAGTCCAAGGAGGAGGATTCTTCTTGAGTCTATCATATAATGGTTTAGAATCCAAAGCAAGATTAGGATAGAAATCACTGACATAATTGAGGCATCCTAAAATCCTTTGTAGTTCAGTTTTATCGAT